TGTCATATCGAAGTCTTTTCGACACTAAAAGTAGTTTCGAAAAGAAGCTCTTTGTGACACTCCTTTTTTACTTATCGGAGGTTGGTAACACTGGCTGACTGATGGCCATCGAACTGTCATTCGCGATAAAAAAATAATAGAAGATTTCTATATTTGGCATGTAGTGTTGCCAACCTAAACATATGAAATCAGGAAATATGAGAATAAAATTTCCAAGAAAAGTTTGTTTTTTTCAATTAAACAATACCAAAATAGAAAAAATAGTATAAAATATTCGTTTCATAAGACATTTTATCGCACTCGCCATTTAGAAAACTCGCCTCCGGCTCGTTTTCTAATATAGGGCTCGTGCGATAAAATGACGTCTTATGAAACTTGTATTTTAATGCACTATTATGTATAGACAATAATCATAATCAGATTTTCTAAAACGTAAATTCAACGTAACGTTATTGAACTTCATATTCTAACATTTTGAAGCATTGGGAAATCCCTCAGGTGGTTTTATATATACAGGGTCTTTCCCCATATATTGACCCACCCCTACAAAAATTTAAATACGAAAGTTTTGGGGTTTTTACTGAAATTTTTGAATCCGATGTCAAAAACTTTTCTGCTTTTTTAGAAATGTCAAATTTTGACAGATGGTCAGGTTTTTATAATGGAACACCCTATATATGACTTTATCTATAAGCGTTTGGTTATGACGTTTTTACATAACCATTTTTCTAGTAATTGAGTTATGTTATGAGACTCATAACACAACTAGTGGTGTTATAGACTAGGTTATGAATTCATAACACAACTAGTGGTGTTATGAACGAGGTTATGAATCTATAACAACTATTTTTGGTGATTTGACAAATGTCAAAGGTAAACCTGTAAAGGTATAATGAAGGTAGACAACTACTAATAAACGAAATTAATTGAAAAAACATTCTTATTTTGTTCACTTACCACATGAACTTACAGGACTGCCCGCTTTTCCACTTGAGACTTTTTTTATTATTCCTTGATTAATCGCACAATATGCACTCTGGCCACTGGGCTCATAACCTATTGAATAATTTGTACGATTAATTAAATACTTTTGAGAATGGATGAATAACTAGATATTCAATAGAGACTCAAGCAAAAGAGAATAAAATTGACATGTTAACTATGACAAACTACTTTTAATTAAAGATAAATGACGTTTTAATATTTCCGGCTTAGTTGCAGCATTGGTTGGAACTATTAGATCTAAGCCTCTGTAGAGTATACGGATTGTGCGTTGCTCGGAGTTACGTGCCATGGAGGATGGCAAACGCAGCTTTTATTTCACATCCCGGACGCGAAAACTTACTGGAAAACTGGTAAAGTCCACACCTGGACAAAATGACGCAAGGGCTGTAGTAGGAAACTTTTCGCGCACCAAGATGAGACAAGTGATTGGGTTATTGATAGGACACTGTCACAAACTCAAAAAAAGGGAATAAACCAATCAGATCAAATAAATCTACACTACTGTCTTGGATGTGTAACTTTGATATCCAACTATGAGTGTTTAGCTTATGGTCGTAAGAGGGAACTACTTGGTTTGATTTCTGGAATTGTCAAGGTTTTTTATGCAGCAAATTTTACTAATTTCCTGCCACCATCTTCTTCCTCATCTCCATTACATTCTTACTCCTCGTGCAGAAAGCACGATTTTCATAAGAAATTTTGAAATTAAATTAAATTAACAACCAACACCCACGAACATCCAGAGTACAGATGAGTGTCCAGAATTCCGCCTCCTATAGGCATATTCTGTATTTGTGTGGCAGTCCATTTTTAATTTTCCAATGTTAATAAAGTAATTTTTTCGATCTTCACCTTTGGTAAGTTACTCTTTGACGTAATTTTCGAAATCGTACTCATAAGGAAGCCTATGAGCCTCTTCCAGTTTTGTAAATATGTTCTGTGTTGGATGCGGCTTTAGCCACCAACTTTATGCTTATAACAGTATGAACACTTGCATTTTTATGTATAACTATTATACTTAGGCATGTCGTATATGACCATATTTCCCTCTGCCATTTGGTAAGTTTTTTGATGTATACACTCCAGGCCCTCTCCCTAACTCCCATATTTTGTAACTTGTAGAACTTATGCTGATGATGGATCTATGATAGATCCGAAACATGATGCCCCCCTTCCAACTGATTATATTTTTATAAAATAAAGAGTGAAGATAGACTGTGTGTTTTACTCCAGTTCTTTAAATAAATCTACCCTTACAAGTACGAGATTTATACAAAAAAAAAGAATAAAAGCGCCCATTCGGAAAAAAACTACAAAGAAGAAAGAACAAAAAATGTCATTGTCAGAAACACATTCAGAAAGTTTGTCAAATTCAAAGACTGATGAGGATACTGATGAAGATTTTTCAAACTCATTGCCAAAAAGGTTTCCACAAGAAAATAAATATGGAGGATTTTTATAATTGTACTCAAGATCGTTGAGATGCAGGATCATCTAACGAGACTGAAAATATGGATACAAAAATAAATAAAAAACAAGATAATATAGAAGAAAATATTTCAACTAATAATTCTGCTGAACGCAGATATAAATTTCAAAAGAACTCCTACTCCTTGGAATGCAAAGTTTGCGAACAACGGTTTTGCCTGACTTGTTCAAAATTATCCAAGAAAGATCTAAATGAAATAGAAAGAATGAAAATTGATTGGGTTTGTCAGAAATGTATTACGAAAAAAAAAATAGATATTGATTTTTATAGTCTACAAGAAGAAAACAAACAGTTAAAAACATTATTGTAGAACTAAAAAATACAAATGAAACTTTAATAGAAAAAATAAATATACAAGAAACAAGTAAAAATATCTATTTTGCAAATAAACTTGAAGAAAAAATTGATAAAATATTAAAAGAACTAGAAAAAAATCAAGAAAACCAAAATATATCATATGCAGATGCAGTACAAATACCTACAAAAACGAATAATCAAGTAAAAAACTATACTCTATTAATAATAATACCAAAAGTAAACCAATCATTCGAAAAAACCAAAAATTTTCTTCAAAAAGAAATCAACCCAAGCTTGGTTAATGTATCAGTAACAAAAATAAAAGAAATCAAAAATGGGGGAATCATTATAAAAACAAAATCTGAGGAAGAAACAATGAAACTTAAAAAAATAACCGAAGAAAAATTAGGTAACAATTTTACATGTCAAATACCTTGATTAAAGAACCCCAAATTAGTAATGTTGGGATGTACAGTGAAATATAATGGAGATGAATTAAAAGAGATTTTGGAACAACTTCAGCTATTAGATTTAAATAACAAATTCGAAGTGAAATATGTAAGAAAATCCAAGTATTCGAACAAATTCATTTATAACATTGAAACTGATGGAAAAACGTTTTTTAAATTGAACAATAAAGCAATATCATTGAACTGGAACCATTGCTATTTTGAAGAAGACCTAAATATTATGCAATGCTACAAATGTTGCGGGTATGGACATAAATCTTATAGTTGTGAAAAGGATAAGGCATGTCAAATTTGTATCAATGTATCAACTGCCTGACATAGGTATAAGAGAAAAAATAATACAATATCAAATGCTGAACATAAAGCAAACAGTGACATGTGCCCATTACATAAACAAAAAGTCAAGGAAGCCAAAAAACTAATTATTTATTCCTAAATTATGGGAAACCCTATTAAAATTTTATATATTACTGCAAGATCACAGAAAAATAAAATGGAAGAAATAGAAATTTTGATTAAAGAAGAAAAAATTGATATAGTAATTATAGCAGAAACATGGGCGAAGAAACAAGAAATTCAATACTACAACTTTAAAAACTTTGAGAGTATTTATGCAACAAGAAAAAAAAGAGGAGGAGGTTTGGGAATATTTATTAAAAATAATCTAAATTTTAAAATAAAAGAAATATCAGAGAACTCATTCTCCTACATATGTTTAGAAATAACAGAACCAAAACTAATTTTATGTGGAATATATAAACCACCAAAATTTAATATGAATAACTTTTTACAATTTATTGATGAGAAACTTGAGAACATCAACGAAACTGAAAGTGACTGTATTTTTATAGGTGATAAGAACGTAAATATATTAAAAAGAAACATAATAACCAACAGACTTTTGGACAAATATTCATCAAATAATTTCCGATTACTGAACTCAGAAATTCCAACAAGAAAAGCAAATAATATGGGTAGGTACACTTATTGATCACATAATCACAAGTTCAAAAGTTCTGGATGCTCGTATAAATATCAAAAGGTTGACATGGAGCTTTTCTTGACTAGAGGGGGACAGGAACATTATAAGTTAAAATTGGAGGATAGAGGGGACGACCTCGGATAAGATGATGGGATAAATTTAAAAGTAGGTGGAAAAAACTGGAACATACTGCACAGAGAAAGTGAGGATTAGGTCCAAATTTTAACCCCAATCAAAGACAACCAGAACGTTGATTCTACGTTACAAACCTAAAACATTTTGATCAAGAACCTCATAAAAAAAACTGATCGTGTAAATTTATAAATACACGAAAAAATACGCACTTAATAAACGGGTTTCAGATTTCAATTTTTTTAATAGATACGATTTCGATATCCTACCAACGCCATGTAAATTTCCCAACAGTTTCGTAGCAAAAAAAAACTACAGCATATAGCTTGTTGTATAATAATCACAATTAATAATTAAAGTTCACTAACATTTTCTCTCTAGAATGCCAGTAGATGATCGTTCCGTTGATCAACAAGGCGTATCGGAATGGAAATAAAAAAAACTTTCTATGCACTTCATTTTGCAACCGCACAAATGGGCGGCGGTTTGCACGAAAACGTCCAAAGAGTAACTGTTAACGTGCTATTTCTGATTAACTTTTTGTTTAACGATTATGCCCGAGTGTTATTTTGCGCAAAGAGCGAGTTTAATGATGTGTTATTATTTTGGTATATTTTAATTTCAGATTTAAACTATTGCGGCACCCACGAACCGTGTCTCAACGGCGGTACCTGCGAGAACACTGCACCGGACAACTATTTGTGTACTTGTCCCGAGGGTTTTTCGGGAGCTAACTGCGAAGTCGTCGACAACCCTTGCGCCACAGCACCTTGTCTTCATGGCGGCTCTTGTATGGAAACTGGAGGATCTTTTAGCTGCGAATGTTCTGCTGGTTGGACTGGACTTACTTGTAATATCGGTAAGAACTCCCAAAATTTATATACATATTTAAGAATTATTAGGAAAATTGGCAATCAAAACATTCAAGATTACTTTAAAAGTTTGGTTCCTTTGGAGAATCATTCTGGTTAATGATGTTGTCATCTATTGACGCCTTGGCTATCTCTAGGAATTCCAACTCGTTCAGACGTTTTCCATTTACCTCATTATGAAGCACTGAAAAATTATTGTTAGAGTTGAATCAATATGTTCTCTATGAAAAAATTTGAAGACGGAGCGTTTGTCTTTTGGAGATCTAACTGTAAATGTTCCTCAGTTCTGATTTACAATTATTGAAAAACTGTCTAAATTGCATTAGAAACTTTGTACATTGACATCTGTTGTGTAGAAATTTCGACCCAAATATCGACCAATACAAAAATTCAGTCTTCAAAGATCTTTGTGTGATCTTTTTTGACATAAATCCGCATATTTTAATTTTTCTTAGCAATTCGAAAATCCAATTTTATGAAAAATTGGCTGCTATAAATTATTTCTTAAGTTAAAAAGGAAGATTACAAAATAATTGTGTTGCTTGGTGGAGCGTCTCAGAGAGGTAGCTGCTACTTCACACTCACGTTGATAGATTTATTTAAGTTGCCCCAGGGTTTGTGTATATAATCAAAATGATGATTTACTTTTTTTCCCATTCCCTAATGGGAACATGCCATTAGAGGGGCTTGAGAAAAACAGCATTTTTTTAAATTGATCGTTTTAGGTAATGATAGGGTTTTTATTATTTCGAAATGTTGCTGTAATTTTTCGTAATCACTTACTCGCGGTGTCATTTTAAAAATTGTTTGCCGCCAAGAAATACATACAATAATTAACTTGATGAAGAAATATCATCTCATAAATTCATCAAGATTACAATAATCATTTATTATTATTAAATCATAAAAATATAACTTTTAATTGTTCACGATACTTTTATTGAGAAGCGGCAAGATCGAACGAAAATAAATTATCTTTGACCGGATAATAACGGCTCCGAGAAATCGTAGGCGTTAAATTTAATTTGAAAAAAAAAACTTGTGGCTTTCAATTAAAATTCTACTAGCATCAACCACACACGGACGAAGAATTAATCCAATTCGATTATTTGGTGGACCATCGCCGTAACTCGTTATTAAAACCATAAAACCGAAGAATTATTTTCAGCTTCACGGTTGCCTTCTTTTCATCCGACATAAATGGTTATGTGTATAGTTCTAATGCGAAGTAATTTATACTATTTATTTATTCAATTTGGCCATTTTTGATTCTCGTCGAGTTTAATCCTCTCATAAAGTATGGGTTTTTGTTTTATTTTTTATTGATTATAGACTCACTGATTTTTGGTTTGATGATTTCCACAATGCTTAAGCTGTTTTTGAAAAGATTTTCGGTAATTTCTCATCAACATTAGGTTGAAATACGACGAGGATTACTTCTGATATAGAAAGAATTTCAACGCCTTGTTAATAAATTTTGTACAGTTAAAATAGGTTTTTAGGAATTATATCGGTAAACTTTATAAGTAAACTAATAGGCCAGTAGGCAAGTAATGAATAAAGGGGGGTAGCTGGAAAGTATTCCGGAGTTATTGATATTTTGGGATGTTGTTTGTGGAGTAAAATCTAAGTTTTCGTCCTCGAGGACCCTATGCTAACTTGGGGGGAAGTCGAAAGACCCAAAAATTTTTGAACTTTTTCAGTTTTTTAGTCATAACTTCTAGCCCATGCATTTTTAGCGGAATACACCTCTTTATAAAGTTGAAGAAAATTAAATATTCTTCAAACTTAACTGGTCAAAAGTATACTTTAACGCGATAGTAACCAAGATACAGTAATTCAAAGATACAAGAAAATCTCAACTTCCAAAAATTTCTTCCCGTTCGAACATAATTCAAACCAAGCATGGGATAAACATCTTTTATCCTTGTCTCTTCCACGTGCATTCACAGTCTACTTCGCCCCTGAATTATTTTTTTATTGTATCCTATTTTAATAATTATTTTTGGAGAATAAACCTTTTTTAATTTTGATTTTGACGTCATCCGTCAAGTAATAAATAGAGGGGGGTAGCTGGAAAGTATTCCGAAGTTATTGATATTTTGACATGTCGTTTATGGACAGTTTGTGGAGTAAAATTTAAGTTTTCGTCCTCGAAGACCCTGTACTAACTTGGGGAGAAGTCGAAAGACCCAAAAATGTTCGAACATTTTCAGTTTTTTAGTCATAACTTCTAGACCATGCATTTTTAGCGGAATATACCTCTTTATAAAGTTGAAGAAAATTAAATTTTCTTCAAACTTAACTGTCAGAAGTATTCTTTAACGCGATAGTAACCGGGATACGTGATTCAAAGATACAAAAAAAAAATCTCAACTTCCAAAAATTTCTTCCTGTCCGAACATAATTCAAACCAAGCATGAGATAAACATCTTTTTTCCTTGTCTCTTGCACGTGCATTCACAGTCTACTGCACCTCTGAATTATTATATGCCATTTCAATAATTATTTCTTGTAAAATAATTTAATAAACCTTTTTTAATTTTGATTTTGACGTCATCCGTGTTAAAGTCGCCTATCTACTGACCATCCACCTTTCCTGGATACAAAAGAGCTATTCTCAGTAGGCACAGGAACTGTTGCTCCTGAAGTTGTGAACTACCACTTAGCTCGAACTATTGATATCACCTGTACGAAGACCTATTTGGAAAATTGAATTTTCAAGACGTGAAATTGGAGCGGAAAGATAAGGTTGTTTCTCTGGCATCTGTTTCCTGTTGTGTGAAAATTAAAGAAAAAAGTTTACAATAAACACTCAGATGATGACCTTAGAAACTTGTTGAAATACTAGCTAGCCCCCTTCCCGATGTCTTTCTTCACAAAGGGAGGTATGAAGAAGGGTACAAAGTCAATGTTGTATGCGGCATCCACTCCTATACAAGAACCAGTAGACTTCGGCAGCGGCAGATGCGCAGTTATTGATGGTGGGTACTTGCAACAAAATTGGTGTGCCAGAACTACGTGAATTATGTTCAAAGACACTTGACACTTCGACTTCGGAAGCAATGCTATAGTGGTTTTTGATGGTAAGTTACCAAAGCACCAAAGCAGTAGAACGATATTGACGATCTTCGCTGCATTCATAGTCAAAATTTGTATTTTCCAAAGTTATAAGGCAAAAACCTGCATTTCTATGCTATTTTTGATAACCTTAGAAATTACTTGAATTTTTGAACCACTATATCTCAGTAGCTATTGGATTAAATACTTTTGGCGGAAATTTAAAGGATATTTGATGTTCTTCAACTTTGTTGAGAAGCTATAAGCAAAAAACTGGAAGAGTCCGATAATTTCGAGGTTTTAGTTGCGGTTAATGCGGAGAATAATTCAGGTGCACAGTAGATATAATAATATCGTCTGTGGGTGCACGTGAAAGAGATGAGGATAAAATATGTTTATCCCATGCTTGCTTTGAATTGTGGTCGGCCGAAAGAAATTTTTGACAAGTTGAGAATTTTTCTGTATCTTTCAACCACTGTATATCGGTGAATAATGCGTTAAATAATACGTTTGACTAGCGAAATTTGAAGGAAATTTAATGTTCTTCAACTTTATAACTAGGTGTATTCCGTTAAAACGTTTAGAAAATATAAGCAAAATGGTTTTTCGACTCCCCCAAGGTAGCACAGGGTCTTCGAGATCTGAAACTCAGATTTTACTCCACAGACTACCCACAAATGACATACCAAAATATCATTAAATTCGGAATACTTTCCAGCAGAAAGTACTTGCCTGCTAGACTATAACTAAACATTCGAATATTCATTTCCATCAATAAATGAATTCCCGAATTCGCATATTAATTAATAATGACCTTTATCTGGATTTCTTCTATCACTACATGTTATTCCTGTGCCCTGTTTAATTTTGTCGTTTGTCAATCTTCTGTCTTCTTGATCTTATTAATGACATAGCTTTCAGGTTTTTGTATTTTCTCGTGTCCTTCTTTATACCATTTGACATGTACTTGTTGATGGAGTTAATTTTTTTCTTTTATTTCCGATTATATCATCATCAGCCGTTTTGAGTCCAGTGCTGAACATAGGCCCTCTCTTGTAAATCATTTCACTGCCTCCGGTCTCTTGTTAAAGAGCTTCATTAATCCCAAGAAGAAATTACATGAGTATTTTTATTTTAGGAATTAACTGAATCTAAAAAATAACCTTTACATTGAACAATGATAATAATTATGATGATGTGATGATGGCGCTGCACAACTATCTAACAGTAGCAACATATAGCTCTGTTCCAACCGACATGAGAACCGTTCCAGAACCAGTAATTTCCAATTGCCCAACTATTTTTCAATAAGTTGATCGTTTATCCTACTTGACAAATGAATTGATCGAAATTACCGTTCTAGAACGGTTCTCATGTCGGTTGGAACAGACCCAAGGCAATTTTCAGCCTGGAATCATTATTATTTGGTTTTAACCAATGCATTTCCGCTGTCGCGGTTTTTACCAAAGTAAGGGAAGTTGTGACGTCACAAATCAGCTGATTTGCTTTTGGTATTCACCACTTATAACTGATTATAACCTAGCTTTGGACTTGGGTTAATCTTTTGGTTACAGCTTTTTGATGTTATTGTTGTTATTTTGGGGATTGGTATTGGTCTTTTGTGATTTTGCACAGTTTAGTTGTGGCCTGGCACAATGGAAGAAATATACACTCACTGCAACTCACCAGTCACTATGTTTAGATCGAGGTTTAGATCATCTAACCCAAAGAAAATCTCTTCGATAAACGAGACTAACGAGAGATTCCGCTTCATTTTTTGTACCTAAACAAGAACCCATTGTTGAAACAAAAAAAAACGAATAAGAATAATGACATAACCCTACCCTACACTGCTAGATATAACCAAATCATTTCATCGGTCAGGTCCTTGGGTTATGATTCTTGAGTTGTGGGGGGATATGACGTC